CATCACCATTATGAATGTAACAATTTTTTTTATTATTCGCGAATAGTTGACAAATTTTCTATATTTTTTAATCCAATGAATCAATAGACAGAACAAATACCAAAGTGAACACAATTGATCAACAGAAAAAAATCAACAGTTTTTTTCTCTGCATTTTCTCTCATTCACAATTCGAAATAAGTAAATAAGCTGTAATGTCATTGTGTGTGTTAACAATCAAATAAATTAATTTTATCCTGATTTAGATGCTGATGATGATCGGATTATCGATTATTTCGGGGGAATTTGTAACAATTTTTGTTGTTGTTGTTGTTGAATATGGCGGTTATAAAATCTGTATGGTTTTTTGAACACAAATCGTCAAACAACAAATGGCCTTGATTGATTGAACAATCACCCCAAAAAAATGGTTCTTGATCTCCCGACCAGATTTGTTAATCACATATAAAGTATGGTGGTAATCATAATAATAAGGACAAATATAGAAATATAATTTTCAAATAAAATTCAATTGTGAATCGATATTTTTTCTTGGTTATGTTTACTGTTTAAATATCGAATACATTTCCCATGTGCACAAACACATACGTGCACAAATACATTCGATTTTCATTTAGGCCCAGGTGAGAAACAACATTGAACAAAGATTGATTGATGATATGAGATTTTTTTTTGAAAAGTTTGGGAAAAAAAGCTACCACCAAAGATGATGATGGTCAACATCATCTTCTGAATACAGTTGAAAGACATAAATCTAGAAATCTGGAAATTTTTCATCATCATCATCATGTTGGTCGTCATGATGTTTGTTCAGGCATGCGAAAAAAAACAGAAGAAGAAGAAAATAATTCAAACTGATCAAATGTTGTTGAATTCTGTATGAAAATGAAATACAAAGAACAACGAGGAGAAGAGAAAAAAATCCATACAAATGTGATTGTATCTAGTGTATGATGATGCCATCTTTTTCTTTGTGAAATCAATGTGCATATTTCGAATTCTTTTTCAAAAACCATCATCAACAGCAAGCAGCAAAACATATCAACGAACCAAAAAGTGAAATATAATGGGAATGGAAATTCATTTTCATTTCCATTCATTGATGTGATTTGGTTTATTATGAATCCAAGAAAAGAAAAGTCTATTCTATAGAAATTTTTTTGTTGTGCATTTTTTTCTACATGGTCAATCTATGAATCGATTTGTCTATTTTGTTTTTGAAATGTTTTCATACTGGCCATTCTTTTGCTCATTTTTTTCTATTTATTTATTTATTCCACATTTCGAAAGAAAATGAGCCTTAATATTTATAGACAATCATTTTTTTCTTTCAGTAACTATGAAGATTATTTTTTGGGTGTGTGTATGTGTTTGTATGAATCGGTCGAATAAGTTGACAAGTTGACCAGAAGCTTAAAAATTAGTGACAGATTGATTGACTGAATGAATAAATGACTGACTGACTGACTGACTAAGATCAATTTGGTTTGGTGTAGTAGCAAACTATAGAATATTATGTAGTATATTGGTGTTCATTCAAGTGAATTGTAATTAATTTCATTTTTTTTGTTGGTTGCAACTAAGACATGTTTTCCCTTTTTATTTCCTTTGGTCAAAACAAAAAAAAAACAGAAAGAAAATAAGTGTGTATGACCACCATCACCAAAAACCAGAACCAAAAATATACATTCCGGTCAAGAATAAAGAGAGAGAAAGCAACAAATCGAAAAAACTATAAGGAAAATTTCTGACTTAAATCAAGTCAAGTGTGACATGACGATGACCACTCATGTTTTTTTTCTGGTCATTCTAATTTCATCTGTTTCAAACAAAACTACAAAAAAAACGAAATTCTCATCTTTCGACCAGAAGAAAAAACATAAAATTGGGAACAAGATTAATTCGATGACAAAAAACTACAAATGAACAATGATCAAAACAAGAAAAGAAAGAAAAGAAACCGAAATCAACATCATAATCGTAAAAGATGGCAGCAACAAGATGGTTGAAAAAAAACAACAACAATAACACTAAACGTATTCTTTTCAATGAATGGAAAATGAAACCCGAGCAACAACAACAAAAAAACCGGAAAGCCGACCATTTATTAGCACATACTTTTTTTAGTTAAAGTTACCATATACAACACAGAAAATATTTTTTATTAGAAAATAAATTTTAGAAAAGAAACAAAACAAAAAATTCTGCTTATGATGGACGATGATGATGATCAAAACAAAAAAGGACTAACAAACCAATAATAATCCAAAAATGGATAGGAGAACAAAACATAAAGAGAATGGAAACGAAAAAAAAAATTTCACACTCTCAAAAAAATAAAAGCCCGGGGACCGAAAGAGAGTGGCTCCCGAAAACAAAAACTTAAAGATGTTCTCTCTTCTTTTTTTTCGTTTGAATTGAAAATAAAAACCAAACGAATAAAACGAAACATAGCAAACCAATATTTTTTTTCTGGCAATATGTGATGATCATATAGGCGCAATAGATATTCTTTCTGCTATTAATGATGTTGACGAATCGAATGTTGAATGAAAATCGTTTCATTCAATGATCCATTCTAAATGTATACATCACCTCATCATCATCTCTATTGATAATGCGTGTGTTTGATTATGATCCATTCAATGCAGGCATTTTGTTTACAACTTTAACAACAACGACAAAACCAAAAAATGTATAATGGCAATCATGAATTTTTTTTTGAAAATGGCTGAAAATAATGGACATTTGGCCAGCAATCAGAGTAGTTGGTTTTTTCAGAATAGAAGTTTTTTTCGTCTTGCAAATAAATTAACGGGACTATACGGCATTTAAGAAACATTCAAAAGAAGAAGAAATATTTCTGAAATTCAATCAGAAATCGGATCAAATCTAAAAAATTCTATAAATCTTATGTTGATGATTGACATTTAAAACATGCCGGTATGATGATGTTTATTTTCATTGATCACTGTATCCATTTTTTTCTCCACTATTATTACATCATTTTAAGCATTTCTTATTTCTAATGATATCAAATGATCTTAGATGATAAGATTTCTTGATTCACATACCTTTTTTTCCGTTGATCTTTTTTCTCCTTTCTACTATCGGTTATAAATTATTATTATTTTATTTATTGTTTCTTGTTGATTGATTGATTGTGTGAACCGATAATATTATAGCAACAACACATTCACAATCTGTGTGTATCTGAGATATCCAATTACATGGCACATTACATCACTTTGTGATGACAACACACGAAAAAAACACTTGATGAATGGAAATGGTTTTATTTTTTTTCACATTCGATTCAATTTACACATGAATTTATTGTTTTTTTTTGAAATTTGAAAAACAAAACAGAATAATTTTTAAATTTATAATTTAATTTTTATTATTAGATAAATTATTTTGAAAATATTTGGAATACGCGCCAACACAGATACACAGAAACAAACGCAAAATCAACAACGAACAAAAAGAAAAGTATGCAGCCTTTTTGGAGCGACCATCAGAGGAACAACTGATTATTGGATGAAAAAAAGATTGAATATCTTTTTGAAAATTGAGAACAAGATCGAGTTTTTTTCTTCTTCTTTGATTATATTTTGAATTGAATGCGCGCCTTGCCTTTTTTTGATCTTCTGAATAGGATTCAAAAATAAAGAACCGCCTCTTTGCTTTGAAAATTGAACATTGTTTTTGCTGTACAATTTTTTTCGATGTTCAAATCTGTGGTAGCAGTATGCTACCATAGTTATAAGCCATATCTAACTACAGTCATTCTTCTTTTTTTAACGATATTCGAATAATACCAATAGATATAAACAATTTGATGAAAGGTTTGATTTGAATTTTATTAACATAGGATTCACTGTATTCCATAGAATAGCTAAAATGTGTTCCGACAACGGGCAGCGAATACCAAGCATCCCGGAACGGATTGGTATTTTGTGATTATTCCTGGTTGATGATTCTGATATTCTGGCGGTTGTTGTTATTGTTGATGATGACCGCCTAGCTAATAAGTATCAATTTTTTCAGTTATTTGTATAGGATTGTTTGATGACTCACACACACTGAAAATGTGAAGAAAAAAATAACAGTGACGATGATCCAGTATGAATCATTCCTTTTAGGTCCCTATGGCCTCATCTAACGGTATACTGAATATGTCATCAGCTAGAAAAAATAATCGAATTCTTTTTCAAATAAAATGAATCATGAATTTTTTCTGTAATGAAATATGAATGAGTTGAAAATTTTTGTGATGGAATAGTAAAGGTATGCATCCCAACAACAGTGGCACGCGACCCTAATTTCATTTTTTCCCAATTATATTGTCCATCATCATCTTCATCGTGAATGGATGATAATCAATGCACTAAATAAATGTATAAAGTGTCTTGATTTGTTTAGTTTCAGTAAAAAGGAGCCACTTGAGCTAAAATTCCAAGCATCATTACTGTCATTATGTAATATATATTTAGTAATTGATCGACATTGATGATTTACACGCGAAAACACTTGAGCTTCCTCTATTTTCTTAATTAGAACTCATAATGATGATACTATCAATCAAATAATCCCAAGAATGTGTCATTTCAGTCCAATACTACAAATTTCATAACCAAAAAGAAAAAGTTGTTGAAAATTCCAAAAAATACATTCGAAATAAATAAATACTTTTTGAATCTAATTTGACACTTGATATATCTGATTTTTGTTTTGTTTACTTTTATCTCTTTCAACTATAGTTTGTTGATAATGTTTGCAATGAATTAGATACAATCATAAAATTCGAATTTGTTATTTTCGTGGAAAATTTATTAATTCTCAAGAAGCTTACTGAATGTTTTAATCAACGACAAATATAAACCGAACCAGGAAAAAAATGAAAAAACAAACTTGCACACACATAGTGATCATATCAACGGAATTCATAATATTGAATCAAATGAACTTTTTTTTGGTTTAAAATTAAATCCATTGAAAATTTTAATGATAATTTAATTCAAAATCACGTCTACAAAATGATCATCCTTGTGCTGGTCGAGATGAGTGTTTGTATGAGTGTGTGTGGGTAAATTATTTAGGGCGTTTAGCTTTCATTCATCTGATTATGTGTGTGTAATTGTTTCTATTTTTATGAACAGAAGAAAATCGATCTGGTTCTATAAAGAATCAATAAACGAATAAATAAAGAGGTGTGTAGATATGAAATTCATCATTTATTTCATTTGCTTATTCGATTGCTGTTGCTGTTGGTCATGTTCCAGGCGACGTTTTTTTGACATTCCATTCAGGTATGCATCACTAAATGGTGGTTGATGATCATTGTCAATACTTTTCTGCTTTTGTATATCCTCTTTAATGATTGGTACCTGTATTAATAAAGAATAAATATCAAGTTAAATTGGTAACATTTCCAACAAAAAAAAAACTACGAACCCATTCATTCGGAACTACTGCTTGCCAATCAATAGGTTCTTGATTATTGATCGAGATTTGATTTGTGGCAGGTGGATGCAAATGTTGAGATTCAGATGATGTTGCTTGCATTAAATGAGTGCTGGTCGAAGGTGGCATATCACTGTAGGCATCAGAAAATTCCATATCTTCCATAGAATCCAAAGAATTCGTAGGGATACCGTTATTTGGCTGTTGTTCTTGTTGTTCATATGTTTGTTTGACAATGTACGACTGAATTTCTGCATCCAATTGATCATCTTTAACAAAATCAGTGGCTATCCATTGATTGATACGTTGAGTGATAATCTGAGTAAGAAAATCTATCAACTCTTGATCAACCATATCGGCATATTCAGACATGAAACGCGTTATCATCGTTGATCTGGCGTTTGTAGGGTCAGCAAAACAAGCTACAATCAAAGAATAATTAAAAAATAATAATTGATGAAAAATCGACTCACCTTCACAAAAATGAACATAAGCATTCGCAAGATATTTAACAGCATCAGTTAGTTCATTTGCAAACGTTTCATCATTATTTGATCGCATAATTTTGTTGAAAAATTTGATTAAAGTCTCTCGAACAAAATTTCTAAATGATTCGATGTGATTAACGCCGGTTGCAGGTCTCATATTTGCCTATCGTATTAAACGAAGATTAAATTTAAAGTCAAAAATAAAAATGTCATATTAAACTTACGACTATTTCAGTTAATAATGTATGATTATTGGTAATCATTGCTTCAATATCAGCCCGAACATCGGTTCTATCCTGACCGTTCAACAGGTTATCTCGAATAGCACGTTGTAAAGGTTGCCTAAGACGTCCAAAATCTCTGAAATCTGAGTTTATCATTTGAAACAGATCTTGAAAATTCAGGCTTTGAAACAAATTTGATAACATATTTGTCAACATTGATTCGCCATTTTGATTCAGAAGATTCAAACTACTTATATAGTCTTGGATTTGAGGCGGTTGTTGTTGATCATCAGAATTTAAATGTAAACCAGCATGCGATGGCAGTTGATTGATTCGTCGTTGCAAATAATCAATGAAATCGAAAAATTCCCGATTTTCATTTGAGCTTGGAGAATCATTCAATTGAATAAGATTAACTAAATTTTGTCGCATCAGATCTAAAATTGTTGATTCGTTGCCTCCACTATTTAGAACCGACGACTGTAAATTACTAGTGATGTCACCTATAGTAGCATTTGAACCAAACATTTGCATCAATGGTCGTGAAAAAGACATCGGATTATAATCTGTGGTTGGAAGAATCTCGGGCATAGTATAAATGGAATTACTGAGAATTGAACATAAAATATTAATTAGATATGAAAGAAAATTCAAGCAATTTCTTACCAATTCAAGAATGGATCAAAATGAGCTGAAAACATTCGTAAAGGATTTAAGATGGAATTGGATCTGTCGTTATTATTTGTGGTAACTGTAGCTGTAGCAGAATTTTGATTAGACATATTTGGCGACGTTTCATCTGCATCCAATGGAGGGTTCGAGAATTGTGTCGCTGTATTGTTGCCATTAGAGCTATCTCGCTGTGATTGCGGTTCGATCGGATTGGTATGCGGATTTTGGCTCATTGAATTGAATGTTACATTACTTGCATTATTGATTAGATCGCTGATGGTAACATTTAAATCTGAAATCGAAAAATTTCGTATCGCGCGCGTCCCAAGATTTGTATCATGCCCATTAATGGTTGCATCAAGTTCCATCAACAATATGGGAGATTGTGCTACAAAGACACTTCCAGGAATAGATCCTAATGATCTGAACATTGAATTATCGTTGCTTGAAGCTGTAGTCGATGGCAAGCGATCATCACCACTTGGCACAGGAGGTGAAACAAATTCATTGGAAGGACTGGGAGAATTTGAATTTGGTTGTGCTTGCGAAGTGTTTTCTGGGTTAGTTTCTGAAGTCGGGTTGTTTTGATTTTGGTTTGTATTACTGGTGGCCGTAGTAGATGCACTATGATCGTCAGTGGTGTTTGAAGCGGTTGTAGTTGATTGTGTGCCGACATTAGAAGCTTGTCGTTGTTGATGGGATGGTCCCAGAACATTGACGCTAATTGGTGAATTAGTATTATTCGGGTCGACAGATAAATCAGTCAACGAATGAAATACATGTGATAAATGATGCACGATTCGCATAATAATAGAAAAATCATTAAATTGTCTGTCATTATTACTTGAAATGTCCTGTGCTGATCGCTGCTGTTCTTCCGGAGTTAATGTTCGAATCCATGATTCCAAGTGTGGTTTCAAACGATCCATGTATGAAATAACATCGGAAAAGCAGCGCACGTAATCCGACAATGTAATGGATTGATTATCGCTAAATGTAATGGTCTGGGATCCTGTTGGTAAATTTAATGGGTTTTGTAGTACCTGAAAATTGGTATCAACATAGCTAAGCAGTTGACGAATGTGATTGAATCTTGCTCGAATATTAGCAGAAGAGGAAGTGACATTTCCTCCAGTTCTATTTGCTCCACTTTGCGATGTTGATACAACCGTTGGATCAGAGGCGTTCGATTCATTGGAACTGCCAGAACCTGTTCGATGGTTGAACAGTTGTCGCATAACTTGACTGATAATATTGCCTGATGGTTCCATAGGAAAGGAGCTCATCAAAACCGATGTGCCATCATCGGCACGAAAACTTTGAAATCTAGATCGATTTCTTTCATTTTGTTGTTGGTTATTATTCTGATTATTCGAACCACTATTGGCTGTATCGTTTTTGGGTGGTGGCGCACGTTTGACCAGATGAATCACTTTACCGTTGTCGACCTCTAACGAATAAAAGTAACGAGGTGAATATAAATAAAGTGCAATAAAAAAATAACTTACTGTAATCTTTTAAAGTTTTATCATCAGCTAGAACACGGCCACAAAAAATCATTCTTTGACTTTCTGGTTCAATGTTCAAAGTGGGTGCAATTTTTTCTTTAAATGCTCGGATTTGCATCTATATAAAAAATTATTATCATTATTATTTCAAAAGATCAATATTAAGAACATAGATGAAATGATTTCATAATTTTATAAAACACTTACATCATTTTCAACTTGAAATCGAAAATTTTGTGAATCAATTGTCTTGATTGTTACTGTAATTAGATCCGATATGATTGCATCAGATGGTGATGAAGGTGCTTTTTCATCGCCTCCGGATGTTGTAGTATGATCCATTATGAACTAATTTTACTAATAAAATGAAAATATTGACAATGATGAAAAAGTTATATAAAAATGAAAAATCAGTAATATTGTCAATCTGATGAAACGTAGAAAAATTCTTGAAATAAATTTCTAAAAGCCAAAACCAAACACATCACACATACAAAACACTGGCAGCAACGGCAGCTGTTATAAACACACCGAGAAAAGATGAACGGGAGAAAGAGAATTTAATGAGAAATAAATATTATGCGCATGCGAGAAAACATTTTTATTTTTAAATTGACCCGTCATAATAAATGTTTTAGTTGATAACATTTGTACAATAGATGGCAATATGTACATTAAAAAAATTAAGAAAAATTTTACTTTTAAAAAAATTAGCAAAAAAAAAATTTAAAAAAACTCGTAATTTTTGTTTTATATGGCAAATGAAAAAATACATTTATTCATTAATATTTAGAAGACTTAAAACAAAACTTAGGATGAAGGATATTTACACCCACATACACAAAAAAAACAAAACGCCCACACAAATATTAATATCTTGTTTTTTGGCTTATTCAAAAAATCAATACTTTTCAATACTTGATTTGTGCAAATAACATTAATGAAATTAATTACAAATACAAATAGGTTGCGATCATTTTATATCAAACAGAACAGTAAAGAATAAAATGTATCCAATAAGCTTGATGTAATTTGTCCCTGTGTATGATGAAAATAGAAGCAGCAGAAAGAGAATAATAGTTACGAGAAAAAACAAAGTAATCAAGAATGAAATTAAATGATAAATGTTTGAATAGATAGATATATACAAATGCATAGGAAAATATCGTCTTATAAAATACAATACAGATTCAGCCATTCAATGAATAAATCGAATGGTTGATTATCATCAAGTAACAGGAAATATGAGTTTTGTTTCTGAGCCACAATAATGATACGCATAAAATTTTTCGTTCTGAACATATTAGTAATAGTCCCGTATTTTTGGTTAACCGATCCTAGATTATAGCCACAATTTGTTTTCGGATCATGATAATAAATAGATAAGAATGGCAATGTTTGCCTTGCTTGAAAGTGAACCAAAAAAAATTGTCATCCGTGTTTGTTTTTTTTGTAGTGCAATAATATTCATCGAAGAGGGGAGTGTCCATATCACAATGACAGTTTGCATGAAAATTGAAAATTATTACAGAGCTCATCACTATAAATGTGTGATTTTTCAATGTGTGCTTTATAAGCATCACAATAAAAATCCATATCATCAGATTACGCATATTGCTTGTTACTATGAAGAGGATGATGATGATTCACATGATGATGATGATTATGGGCGGCACGATAAGTTTTTGTTATGGTCGTTTTATCGATAGGATAGCTGCCTTCATCCTTCTTACGCATACGATATACGATAAACATGACCATCAGAATGGCACACAATAATCCGACCACGGTTCCACCAATGACAGCTAATTTTATAGAAAAAAAAGTAAGATAAGATTCAAAAAAAAAACAATCCAGAAAACATACCTGCAAGAATTCCGGGTCGTGCAAAGAATGACGCTGAAGCTGATGGCGCACGTGGTGGGATATATTTTGGAGGTGTAACATAATCTGGAAATTCGACATCATCAACACTTGGAGTCATCATTGACGGTTGGCTAGTTGTCGTGGTTGTTGATGATGAAGTAGTCAATGGACGTATAGTCGATGTTGTCCACGAAGGAATTTCAACTATTGATGATTCTGTCGTACTGCTGCTGCTAGGCACAGCTACAGATTCCTGATCTATGTGGGAAGCTAATTTTTTTTATACAATATGGTTAAATATGTTCTTTTCAAAAATGAAAATTTCAATCTTACCTCCAGATCCTTCTATATCGCTATCGTTATTATCAATACAATCACCAGATCCTTCCAAATCTTCATCATCGATAGGAGTTTTGCAAATCTTAGATTTGGGCGTATTTGGTGGAAAAACAGTGGTGGACATTATACTAGGTTTCATGGTTGTAGTTGTGGTTGTGGTTGTAGTAGTAGTTGTCGTTGTCGATGTTGTAGTGGATGTTGATGTCGATGATGTAGTAGATGATTGTTTATCATTGATCGAATCACCAGCTCCGGAACCATCAATTTCAGAATTATCATCATCATCATCTTCTTCATCTTCATTCGGATTGTTTGGATTTCGATGATGTTGTCCACCACTACCTTCGGCAATATCCAAAAAAGGGTCATCTTGCTTGCCTTGTTTAGGTAATCCACGTTTGTCGGCAGGATTTTTATTCCTAAAATCTGCTGAATTTGGAAGAAATGTTAAACCACTTTCGCCACTATTATTATCGATATTTAGGTCATGATGGTGATTGCGATTACTACTGCTACGAATGGATGATCGGCCAATCACTGATGGATAATTGTCATAATGAGCCTATAATTATTAAATCATCAAAATGCAAATGAATGATTAGTTAATGGAATGAAAAATTTTATTATTATGAATAGTAATAAAAATTATTTCCTAATCAAATTTTGTTTAGTAAACAGAATGATGCCTCAAAATATTCTTTGCCGAACAAACTGTAATTACATAAAAATTAGAGTCAATTCAAACTAATTGAAAAATTCAACTCAACAATTGTATGATTGAAAAAAAATCATTTGTCCGATTCGATCCCCTTTCTCTTGCCCTCACACACACAGAGAGACGGATCATCAACAATGGGCTTATAATTTATTGAAGAATCAAAAAAGATGATCATCATCTATTAATCTATCTATCAATCGAATTCATGGCATTTTGCTTTGGTCGGTAATGCTTTTGTTGAATTCATTCATATTATGGCTAATAATAGTCAAATGAATCAAATAAAAACATCCATCTTTTTCAAACCAACAACTTGCAACAAGCCAGTCTGTTTGTATCTGTAATGTCAACCATTACAGATACAAAGCCAGCTTCCATCAAGATGGTAAAGGCGGTGATCATTATAAGCAAACTATATTTGTGAAAAAAATCAACAACTAATAGCTTTTTCACTAAAATAGTAAACCAGCTAAATCAACTACACAAAAAAATTGGCTTGAACTTGTCTATCGAGTAAAAATAATATTATAAACCCCAAACTATTTAAATGGTTTTGTTTGATTTTAAAATCATAAATAAATATAGGAATCAAATATATTCATCGACCATTCTTGGGGATGTATGCATACACATAAATGGTGCTGGAATAAATCAAACAAAACGAACAAAAAAAACAGAAACGATTTCTAGCTATTTTTTGGCAATTTCAAAAAGGCAAGTTTCCTTTTCTGGCCAGAAAGCAAAAGTAATCCACATGAACACATATGAAGAAAACAAACATAAAAAATTTCTCATCATCATCGATCGTTTGGCATTAGAGATGTAAAAATTCAAAAAATATCGAATGCTTGGCCAAAGCAAAAAAAAATCAAAACATCAGGACTTTACTGTCACTGTAAAGTTGATCGATATACATACAAATGTAGTGTGTGTGTGATCGATACATCCGTAATGGATCAAATATACAACAAAAGAAAAACATTGATTCTATCCGATATTTTGGTTTTTTTAAAGAAATAAAATGCATATGGACATACGGAAATGGATTTTTTTTGTGGAAAAATCGACATTAGGAAAAGGGAAAAAACTAATCGATTGTTTGATTGAAAAAAATAAATTTCAGGTAGATCGATTGAGATTAGTTTGATAGATTGAATAAATGATTTCACAGTGATGATGTCATCTCAAATCTAGTAAACATTATTTTCATCATCATCATCATTTATACAGAGATAAGGTTGTAAAAGGATTGCAATCATCAATCGATCAGTTGATTAAAATTTCGGATGAAAAAAAAACATCATATTAATTTATCAATTGAATTTGATTTGATTTCAAGAATCATATGAGCAAAAAAAAATCTCCTTCAATTTCAAATAAATATCCACCATAAAACTGACACTATACATCATTATCATCATCATCGACTTTGATAAATGGTTAAGGCAGAATTTTTTTTATATAATAACACTGGGGAGATTTTTGTTTGTTTATCAACAATGATCAATGTTAGTGCCTTGAATAGCAGAGCAATTTATCAGAGTTTTAGTTCTAAAAATGGGAGTTTTGAATTATTCTATCAATAATTTCAATTGTACAGCTTTGCTGAAATAATAAAATCATAAAATTTTACAACACAAGCATGGATGACAATATATTAAATATAAAAATTTAAATTAAGTTTAGCCAGATCTACACAAACAATGATTCTTTGACCAAAATACGACAGAAAAGATTATTTTAATCAGATAAAAAAATATGCAATTATAACATCGGGCTACAAACACTAACAGGTTTGATAGGATTGTCTGAAAATTTATTACATTTGAAGAACAAAAGAACAATCAATAATAACCTACGAGAGTACTATCGGTCATCAACTAAACCATTTTTAAAAGTTAGGACAAAAAAAGCTAATTAAACGTTGTCGAATCGTTTTGGTTGGTTTTCGAAAATAAATCAACAATGAATGAAAAAAATGCATGCGAAAATCAACCGGAAAAAACTACAACATAAACTAATAAAACCAAAAAAAAATAAAATAAAAAATTAAGCCAAATTCATAGTGACGACCATTGAAAAAAAAACATGGTCATCAGACATTCTGATCACACACACACACAAATACATTGATGAAATGTATTAACTTATTAAATTGGATGACCATTTCGGGCTTTAGTAAAAGAAAGAGAGAGGACGTCAACTCTCTTCACAATCATTGTTTTTTTTGTTGTTGTTTCGTTTAACACTTAAAATGTTCAAGAATTTTATCCTAAACTATAATTCGTTCATAAATTTTTATCCATATATGGCATATATTTTTATTTATAAGTGTTAATGTATATTTTAGAATATACCAAACCATAACCATATCGGCCTTATGTCTCTCACTTTTATTTGAAACTTTGTGTCTGTGTCTGTAAAAGTAAAGGAATAGATTGACTTGAAAGTCGATTATATGAATTCGTTATCGAATCTTCGGCCTTCGATATAGTAATTTCCTTTCTATTGATTTCGATTTCAATTCGAACAAAAGAAAAAAATTGAAAGAGACAATCTCGTGTAGGGTGGTTGTGGTGTTGGGGGCCTAGAGAAAATAAAAACCATATAGAAACAATTTCCACGAATAAAAAAAAGGTGAACATTGAAACATTTTACCATTCGACTTGTTGGCACCACCACCAACTGAAAAGTAACCAAAGAAAAAAAATTATGTGTTGTGTCGGCAATTCATAATATTCATTTGCAAAACTCCAAAAAAACCTGATAATTTCATCGGGTATATTGTGATATAAAAGGTATAGATTGTATTTTCAAGTCTTTTTTTGATTCGGTGTCAACACCGACACACCTTTCGGCAAAAGTTTCAACAAAAAAAAAACTTTTCATACCAACTAAATACCAACAACAGTGCTAGACAATTTGGAAAACATTTCCTCATCATCATCATAACAAGATGGGGGAGGAAATACACACATACACACATTTCGATACAGCGGCCTACATGTGTCATTCATTTGGTCAATTCCATTCTAATATAACACACACAAGAAAATTGACCACAAAATGAATAGAAAATTTCATAAGTTGGAAAGATTTTGCCAAAAAAAAAATCAATGAAAATTCAAAGAACCGGGATAAAGTGATAAGACATTTCAAAAGAATTTTCATTAAATGTTGACAATGATGATAGTCGATTTATATTTTTTCAGAAAAAAAAGTTTTCAGCCATAATTATCATTATCATTATTTTCATTCATGTTAATTATATAATGAAAAAGTAAAGCTGTTCTTTTTTCGTATATCATTTTTCCTGGTCGATCGTTTGGGCGTCAATGTGAAATGAATGAAAATAGAATTATTTATTATTATACAAAATCCAGTCAACCAAAGGCAGCAATATATTGTCTCAAGTTTCATATATAATGAATAATAAAAATAAATTCTTTGTTTCTATTCTGTAACCAATCAATCGCCTCGATCGATAAGATTGAATCGAAAAAAACAAAACAATTAATTGTTTGTGGTTTAAAAAAGAAGAAAAAATGTTTTTTTTTCACAAAAAAACAACAACAAAAATATTTTGTTCTCATAAGTTTTGTTAATATACAAAAATTAAATAAAATGATTTGAGACAAATTATTTTTCCCATTAAATATCATTACAAAAATTTCATTCATACTTAAACAATTTTCATATATTCATGTATATGAAGTAAATAATAAGTTACAAGAAAAAAGTCATCAAGATGTAAGCATCATTACCCATTACATCATTATCGTTTAAAACAAGGCAATAATTTTGAATGAATGATGGCCATTGGCCAACAACATCTTATGACCAAATAAAAAAATCAACTGGTAGCAACATTTTTTTCCAACAAAATTAAAGCGATAGATTTTATGGCTAAAAAGCAAGCAACAAGAATCGGAAATTTAATGTTTAAAATAAAGATTTTGTATTGTTTTTTTTTGTGAATATTAAAACTAAAAATCCATTACACAATTTTTTCCTCAAGAACAAATGTTGAATTTTTTTTGTCAATTTTTGCTAACCAAAAAATTGTTGTTGTTCTGAGCACACATGAACATGGCATGAATGAGTATACTCTATAGATGGTACAAAAGGTCAAATGGCAAATGTTTTTAAACCGACAAGGAAAATATTTAAAAAGTACCATCTGCTTGTAGTATTTTTGTTTGTTGTTGCTTGGTCTTTATATGAACAACAACAACCCAACCAAAAAACGGGATGGCGATCCAAGATGTGTTTTCTGCAGCCAAATAAAACTTAGATAGTCATTTATTTAGGGTCATCACGAAAAAATTGACTGGCATGTGTTTGAACCGGACATTGTCGATGTTGATGTATGCAGACAATAAAATCATCATCATCAGCATCATATTGTACATCTTTGTCACATCTAAATACATTTTAAATCAATTCAAAAACGGAAGGAAACATTTTGTACAAACAATCAAAAGCATCTGAACGATCATCGTCAGTAAAATGAATAACAAAAATGACTAATGGAAAAAAATGTCAACAAAAGCAACAGCATATTAGTCGTAATGACATTTTCCATCCTGATTTGATGATCCGATGATGAAAATTGATATCAACATGATTGAAAGCAAAACACAAAAAAACTGAATATAAATAAATCAAGAATCATGTAAAAGATGTTTATTTCGATTATGAAATGACCACCAACAATAATCGATTATTCCAAATATTCTTTTTCCTGGCAAATGATCAAGTCAATATAATAGAATTCAAGATTGGTTTTATGCCAAGAAACCTTATTTAAGATTCTTTTTATATATGTGAAAAACCAGTCATTGTTTATTTTGATCATTATGATAAAAAAGGATCCAATCACAAAGAGTTGCTGATGATGACTTATAAGCTCATCCATTGATGATGATGATGATGATGGACATAAAATGATTACACATCTTATTGGCAACTAAAAAGCAGCAGCTGTATGATGAATAAAGATTGTATAATCATGAAATGAGCAAATAATAAATAAAATGCAATTTGATCATCTTTTTTTCTATTTTGTTCATTATTATCATATCAATACAATAATGAGATAAACAAAGTATAGATTTACACAATTTTTACAAGAATATACACACAATCAGGTAGAAAAAACATCCTATCATTATTATCAACGACTAATACAAAATTTATAGAAAGTATAATAATTCAGAATATTAAAAACAACTTTTAGACCAAAAAAAATAAACCAAGTAAAAAAAAGTTTAACCCTTTTTACAATTCCATATACATTAGAAATTTTTCTTTTCGACTCTCTAAAAAGATACACAGAGTTACTTGTTTCCTAATATTGCTGATATTTTATCAGCAAATCTAACAAAAAAAAGTCCACAACTTTTAAGAATGCAACACACAAACCGACATCATCATGATTTATGGGCTCGGAAACCGAACGACACCAAAACATCACTATGGATTATATGCTATCACACACACACACACAAACAAACAAAAATCATGGCGTCAAAAGCAAAAGAAAAAGTGAACGAACTTGATGCAAAGTTTTTAACCGTTCATAAGCAAAATGATTATGACATAATAATAAAAACTTAAAAAAAACTAAAGCAAATGAGTTTCATCGATCACACAATCTTGAATGAATAAATGGATCAAAATGAATGATTCATTTTTTTTAGTTTTAAAATGTTAGATGTTTGACTTGAATATCAAAGAAAAAAAAAGAAATCTAATCCCTATCAATTCTTGAATCTATTGCTTTTACTTTTATTGTTTGGAATTTTTTTTGAAAATATTCAAATTTTTTACATAAGGAATCAATTTCTTTTTTTTTGGGTAAAGAATCGAAATATCATTGACTGGAGACACACACATATGGTCATAATAAAAAAACAATTTTTTCTGGTTTCGGTTTGATTTACCATATCCATTGTTTGTTTGGATCTGGCGTTTATAATCCAGGGAAAAAAATTCTGCCGGTTTTTCATTTTGTCTCAACAAACAAACAAAACGGACAATAAAGCAGATGATAATAATTATGGTGGCCGTCAGCCGGTATAGTTTAGTATAGCCTTATTTGTACTATGGAAAAGAGACAAATTATTAGTCCTTATTGGTCAGTTTGGTTAGATTTTCCTGTTTTCGTTGAAATTTTTTATTCAATCTAAAGCTTTTCTGTTGTACAGAAAAAAAACGAAGAGACAGCCATCGCCTATGGCCACATTTGGACAATTCAAACAATCAATGTTGTCCAAAATCAACGTCAACGTTGCAGACATACTGTTTTGATGTTGTCCGCTGGACAACAAACAACAAACGAGAATGTGAATAGTGCTGTTGTTGAAAGTTCGTGAAATTATTTCAACACTTAAATCGGTAATGAAATGAAAAAAAAATCATCGAGATGTTTTCCCGAACACCAACAAACGACCAAACTGATTAGTCGTGTCTCTTCTTTTTTTTTGTAAAATAAAAAACAGATGTCAACGGACATGAATTTGTTTGACGTTTCACAAACAGAGTTTAGTTAGACGAGAAACAGTTCTATTAACCATTGGTCCATTTCTTTAAATTAATTAATTAGCAGCTGTTTTAATAAATTGTTCAATTTATTTATTGATTTCAATTGAATAACAACAACAACATCATGTCTGAGATAATCAAATTATAGTTTTTTTTTATACAAAAACCTTTGGATTTGTTTTTAAAATTGTTGGTTGCTACTGATAGATATTGATAGTATTTCTATGTCAACTGCTATTTGAGAGGGAGGAAAATGATGATGTCGGCAATGAAAAGATGAAACGAAATCAAAAACAAAAATGGTGATAATAATAGAGAAAGAAACGAAAAAATTGTCAGCTCAATAACACAAAAAAGAAAAACCGACTCAAAAACTATTTTCAGAAAAAAAAACACGACGACTTTGATTGCAAAAAAAAGAATCTTAGTATTTTTCAATAAACAAGATCAAGAAATAAAAAGATTCTAGTCCAGGACCTAGTTTGTTGTTCTCATTTGACAATTAATATTTATATAAAAATAGACAAAACAAAAATTTGGATCAAGGCTGATAGATCATCAACATCATCATTAAATAGATTAGATCCGAATTTCAGTACACAATAGACACGTTTTTTTGTTGGAGATATTTCATTATCGATTTCGTTCATGTTTTGTTTGACACAATGATGACTATACACCATGACAACATCTTCAAGTGTAATTCTTTGCACTATGTTTCGTCTTTCATTGAATTATGATGATGGGTGACCTAGGACAATTTTTACATGCATTTTTTGCTTTTATCTTTGCCTAAATAAGGACATCATATAAATAAATAAATAGAAAAAAATTGACAAACAAGACCAATGTTTTGGAATGTGCATAAATATATGATATCGTTTCGGCGAATTGATTTCTTTTTCATTTTGATTAATATGATAACTTTTTTTGATAATTCAGTTGAAATAAATAAATGACTTAATGCTTAAAATAAATAAAAAAAATTGAAAATCAGCTTTGAAAATCTAAATCGATTTAATAAAATTGAGGATATCAACATACACAGATGATAAAAACAAATAAGCCTTTTAGTATCAATGTAATTATGTGATGTACACATCTATAGTTGGATATCACCTCCCGCATCCATTTTTTAAGAGAAAAATGAAAACATTAACTAAGAAAAAAAAAACAAATTGACTTGCCTTTTCGGTCGATACTGTCTTCGTTGCGATTATAATCATCAACAAAAGCGGCAATGAAAACAAATAAAGATTCTTTATAGGATTCAAATTTACAATGAATTGCCATATTAATCGTTGATCAGATGATGGCAGTATCGATTGTGTTGAACACTTATTTGTAATGGGCATCGATAATAATGATGATGCTGATGATCGAATACAATGATGTGGATGTTTATTATCTATGGACCCATTTGTTGTCAATGTTGATGAATCACTATTTAAGGATTGCTTCGGGTGAATATGATTAGTTGGTGTTGGTTTTTCGCTATAGTATGATCTGTTTTTAGATTGATGTAAATATTTCCATTTTAATCTTGATGTCGATGACATCGATGTCGAATCGTATAAGGTGGATGACATTTTCATGTTTTGTTTCGAATTTAGTTTATCTAACCAAATGTTTTCAAGGTGTTTCCAATGGAAATATTAAACCATTGGTTTTAAAGAGAGGGAGGATAAATGAGCACAAGATGAGCTATAGCCGATTTGGGCTTTCATAAACGAACACCCACAACAATGAATGAAAAAAAATAAATAAAAAATTTGTAGAATTTACAGATTTCGAAATCAATCGACAATCATCATGTCCAATTATGGAAATGATAATGATATGGTGACAAAAGACACTGTTGGTAAAACAATCATTGCTGATCAATGTCAAAATTTAACATATCGCAAAACCAGAATGACTCGAATGAACGAGAACTAAATAAAAACACGTACATTGACGATGGACGATTCCAAATAAAAAAAATTAGATGCAGGATTTTTACACTTCAAGAATCAAATGGATGATTGGTTTTGGATCATGATAAATAAGAAATGCACGTGTTGACAATAATTGTTTGAAAATGGGATGATCGTGTGTTCAATTTGAATCAATTCGAAAATGACCGACAATGGGAAGTATGGCCGGCCAAATGGAACAATGAATTTTTTCAGAGTTTGATAAACTTACAGCAATTGATGCTTCATTTCATATTCACATAACCAAAAATTTATCCAATTTCAGTTGGCCAACAAACATAGATGTATATGAAAAGATGATGTTCATTCGGGTTATTGGCGCCCGAGTTGAACAATTTCTAAGTGAAACACACAAACTCACACATATGATGATAGTGATAAATGTATTCGATTCGACGATAAGATGAATGATGGAAGCATTTGGTTCACATTATGTGATGATGATGATGATGAACTTCAATAACCGTAGAGAAATAAACATTCAAGATATATATAATTTAACCACATGCATAGAATATTGTCGACAGTATGTGTGTGTGTGTATCTGGACGCGACAGAATGAATATGAACGAACCACACAAAGTATTTAATAAAAATGATGAAAGAAGAGGATGATATTTTGATTAAGACAAGTTTTTGGTCGCGGCCAACGCACGATGGATCTCTATCACTTATTATTTTGATCATATCAACAACAACAACATTGATTCATGCTACTACAATTTTTTTGGATAATCAAAAAAAAAACACCCTGTTATAAAAGTAGTGGTATTTTAGAAAGAAGAGACAGCCCGTTTTTGGAAGAGGGTATACACACACAGGTGAAATAATATACCAAAATACAAAAATACCCTATGTGTTTGTTGTCGTATCCGGTCATCTTCATCACCCTCCTTGTTTTTTTCCTTTCAATGTATATCATATACACGTACCCAATTTTTCACATTCCTTAATGTGAGCGCGCTTCTTTTGTTTGGTTTGATTTTTCTTGTACATGCGTCCTTCATGGCTTACACTTGAAACTAACCACCCATGTTTCAATTTGCCAATAGCTTTTCGAAAACTGGCTGTGCACTCCCTCCTCGATTGTGCGAAAAGTATGTTGTGATATTATGCCATCGTAACACACCAACAGCAACAACAAAGGCGGAGAAATTATTAAAAAAATATACATTTGTCATGCCACCTATGTGCATTTAATAGAAATCATTGAAAGATGGTTTTTATTCGAATTCAAATGATTGTGCATTACCGAATATAATTCTGCGTGTTAAATTAATCGTGACTTTTTAAAGATAAACCAAACAAACAAACATTTAAAGAAATTTATCAAACATAAATTATTTAATATGATGAATGTGCAGAAACATGTCGAACTAGAATTTGTATGGCCACTCCAATTTGTAGGCTAATTCGGATCATTTCCTGTTTAAGCATTTCCCTTGCTTTTTTTGCTTCGGCTAGCGGTGATGAATCGGTCATTCGTAGGCTAAATTCTTCGATCGATTGTTTAGTCGATCGATCTTCTTCATTCAATTCTTGTAGCCGTAATGATCTTGCCTCAAGTTCGGATTCGGCCTGATCCAATGATTGTTTCAATTCGATAGCTCGTTGACGAACATTTATATATTCAGCGAGTATGGTATTGCAATTCTGATGTAGATAGCTTTCTTTTGCTGCGATCTTTTCCATAGATGTTTTCATTTCAGCTTCTATTTTGGTTAGCATTCCTTCCGTTTGACTAAATATTGTTTCAATATTGGTATGATGACGACGTGCAGCTTGCAAATGAATCCGCCATTCGTTGCTCATGTCGTTGGTCGCCATAAACATCGTCATGCGATCTTTGCTTTGATTTTTCATAAATCTATGAGCATTCATCTGTGGTAAAATACGTTCCAATTCAAGCTTCCATTCGGACAGATCAATTTCTGTGGCTTGTATCATTTGTCGCTGTAATTGTTGTTGATTTGTTTCCAGTGATGTATCTTGCCATTCTTCATCATCGCCATCATGAACAACTAAATCGGATTCTGTTTCCAAATAATCTTCGAACTCTTCTTCCAATACAATTTCATTTTCTTGATCTTCGTCTTCAATATAGTCCTCATCGTCATCCTCTTCAACTTCAATTCGGGATCCATCTCCTGATCGAACTATAATTTCAATGTTAGCTTCTTGATTCTGATATCGTTCCGAAAATAGTTTGTCGGTCAAAATCGAAAGCAAAGTAATCACTTCAGCACCATAGCCAATTTTGAGCCGGTTTTTCGAAACATCACCAATGCCATATGGTTGCGATGCACCGATAATCTTGTCGATAGTCAAATTTGGATCATCAAAACTATCAACTTTAATCTCTTGTCGACCATTATTCAATTTACTCAACAAATATGAACTCAAACAACAAAAGGCGAAAAATTGTTGAGCCTGATTAATTTGTTTACAGAAAAAATATCGATGTATAGGTGGACATTTATAATTGGAAACAAATTCTCTTGAATAATCTAGGGCCAACAATTTTTCATTAAGTTGGCGCATTTTTTCCAACAATTCTTCAGAAATTTCTTCCGAAGCGATGTTTTTTGACGATGAATTTTTCGAAACACCAGGCATTGTTACATTATGATCAAAAAGAAAAACCCAAGACTTGTTACGAATTTATTTGTATTGTTTCGAATTGAATTCTCAGTAACCATGGAAATTTGAATTTTTTCTTGGTCACATTATCTATGAACGACATTCTGATTCTGTTTTTTGTTTGGCACGCGCTGAAAAAAAGTTGATTTTCATCTTAAAACGATCATCAAACTGAATGCAAAATGTTTTACCACATTCAATTAGAACATGAAATCCAACTGCATCCTCGCTATTTTGGACCGAATCTATTGGACACGGTCAAAAAGAAGTTGTTCAAAGACGTTGAAGGAACCTGTACAGGCAAATATGGATTCGTCATTGCTGTGACCACAATTGACAGTATTGGTGATGGTGTCATTCAATCAGGCACCGGCTTTGTAACTTATCCGATCAAATATCGAGCCATTGTTTTTCGGCCATTCAAAGGAGAAGTACTTGATGCTATCGTTACACAGATCAACAAGGTCGGTATATTCACCGAAATTGGCCCATTGGCTTGTTTTATATCACGACATTCGATACCAGCCGATATGGAATTTGATGCTAATGCTAACCCACCATGTTATAAAACAAAAGATGATGAAATGGTCATCAATCAGGATGATGAAATCCGTGTGAAAATTGTCGGTATACGTGTCGACGCTACCGATATATTTGCCATCGGTACGCTAATGGACGATTATTTGGGTCTTAATTGAATAAAACTGTCAACTCGGTTTTTATTCATCTCATTTGTTGTAGATAACCTATCCACCAATTTCATTCATGTATCATTATAATGGATTTAATTTTTTTTTTTTTTGATTAATTTAATAAATATTCAATTGAAGAATTAATTGATTACTCAATTCGAATTTACGTTGTTTATGATAAGTCCATTAACATGGAATCGTATTGAATCATCGAATGAATCAACATAAATTTTAATGTTCAATGTTTATTTGAAATTTTCAGCTTTACAGATATTTCGGATTAATAATGGCTAGTGAACAAAAAGAGCAGCATCAAGTGAAAGATCAAAGCAGTGTGATTCGGGAAAAACTTACTGAACGTATTCAACAATTGGAAAAAGGTGACAATGAGAATTTTGGCGAGAAATTGTCAGATGTAAACGCTCTCCTTATTTCTGCAAATCACCGAGATGTTCAACAAGTAACCAATCATATGAATCTAGCCCGTCTGTTTGATCGATTTAATTCTTTGTCAGTCGATGATGAACTATTCACCGAAGAATTACTTTGTGTATTTGGCATGTTCTTAGAATCATTACCACTTAATGACATTTTTGTCAAATATAATGATCAGATCCTTCAAGGTCTTCAATCGTCGAACATGACTATCTGTAATATATGGATACAAAAAGTGGTCAAACCATTATTCACTAATGAAGGATTAATGAAAAATATTTCAAAAAGTTCGATTAGTATTATCCCAATATTGACAGCTGTTATCGAATTATTGCCTAACCCAAGTACATCGATTGCTTCTGCTTCGCATGATATTTGCGTGATCACCGCTAAAATATTTCGTCAGGAATTTTTTTCTCCGCAAGTTCTTGACTGTTTGAAAGGATTAAAAACTAAAAATTTTCAAACAGAAAAAGAAGCCGAGCAATTCTTGATACGATTCTACGAACTTATTGTTGATATCGCTGCAAGCAGTCAACTATTACTTGACATGCTAGAAGCAAGTGGTTTGCTTAAAAAAATGGTTGAAGAATCACAGCAAAAAATCAATAGCGATCCATTGGTTGCTATGAATTTTATTAAAATACTTACAGATCTTGCATCAAAGCCTCATGGTTTGGAATTTGTAAAAAATTCTACAGATCTTTTACCTTTGATGGGTAAAAAGATTGAAACTATTGATACAGAAGACTTGTTAGGATCGTTGATTTTGCCTGGCTGCATAAATTTTTTCATTCGGATTGCTCAAACAAACATGTCCATATTATTGAACGAATATCCTCAAGTATTGAATAAATTGACTGAATATTGTCGCCAACAACGAGCTGGTAACCCCGAGCTTCAATTGCTTGCAATTGAATCAGTCGCATTTCTTTGTCAATCAAATGAAGGCAAATCTAGTTTAGCCGATCGAATGTCAATTTTCTTGGATACAATCGTTATGATGGTCAATGGAAGCCATAATGATTTGAAAAGTCGCGCAATCATTGCTTTGAACGAAATCATGCAGGTTAATGGAAATGATCCTGGCAATAAAGCGACAGAATTGACAAAAATCTGGTACGTTCATTTAGATTCATCTGACTGTGGATTGGATAGATTCATGAAGTTTGTGCTCGAACCTTTCATCGATGTTCGGATTCCAGCCATCAATTTTATCCGAATACTTGCCACGTCACTTTGGGGTCAAAAATTGCTGTCTGAATATCCTGGATTCCTCGATTATCTACTTGATCGTAGCACTGAGACTTGTAAAGAAGGTCGTGATGCTAAATTTGAAATCGTCTGTGAATTGGCCATGTCTCCTTTTGTCCGCATTTCGTTTCCACCTGAATCGGTTTTACGAATTCGTGGATATTTAAAAGATGGGCCAATCAACAAAGAAGTTAATGTTGCACTCGGTAGTGCATAAATCAATTTTTTGTGCTTTTTTGTATAAATATATTTTTTTTATTATGGGAAACAATAAAATTTAAATTCTATATTCACCATCACCATCTATTGACAGGAATTGCAATGAGAGAAAGTTTTTCATAATATGTTAAGCAAAATTTATGGAATATTTATGGGAATTTCTTTATTTATGTTTTGAATTTGATATTAAATTGCGACAAACTAATTTTTCTTTCAATTTTCGTTGCGCATTTTGTTTAATTTTTCATATATCAATTAAGATTCTTCAAGAGGCAAGACGAATTAACGCTTTGTTTGTAGAGCATTGAATGCCTGTTTTGTTTGCCTCAATAAATCAATGACTACATGTGATGTGACAAGAATGGTAGAAAAAATTACGCGTGAAATTGTTTAGACAAAAATTTTCAGGTCGATTCGAAATTCTTGAACGTTGAAACCATTAAATTTAAGAATGTGTAATACCTTATTTTGTATTATGTATAATGATAATGTAATTATTGACGCTTCAACATACATAGACTAAGTAGAATCGTGATTAGCCTGTTTACGATTTTGATCTAAACAAGATTTGTCATCAGCTTTTTAAACAATAAAACAATCCTTACAGCAGATTGTTTGGAGATTCAGTGGGTGGCTTAAAGCTTTGCATACTTATTATCAAAAATGTTGGGCAAGAATTGTTGAAATATTTCGTTTACTATATGAGGCCAAAAATAGAACAATAATAATTGCACAAGGAGCAGAAAATAAAAGTTTTATTTATAATTCTGCACGATTTTCTGGCCTGATGACGATATTGCTCTTGTAAGTTGTTTTAAATAAAAATTTTTCAAAGAACAAAAACAAAAAATAAACGCCGACTATCTTTTGTCGCCATCATTCATTATTCAGCAATTTTGTTCATTGTTATAACTATAGTCTTCAAAGAGTTGTTTATCATCGATGCATACACAGAACGGTCAACATTGAACATGGCATCATCATCATTGATCAACTTAAATTCATTTAAATTTATGGTCATCATACCGGCAGCTGGTTTAAGTGAACGTTTTTGCGCGAACAATTCTTCATCTATGATTATCAATGGAACAACTGCAAGAAACAGAATTCGCTCTCAATCGTTACCGCCGTTTTTTAACAAAAAATCATCATCTTTAATGGGAAAGCAATATACGGTCATCTGTAATAAACCACTCATCTATCACACCGTGGCCGCTTTTCTTAAGTCCGTCTATTCATTGGTAATAGCTTTTCATCTATGACTTTTTTCAATTTAAGGTTAAAATGGATCGATCATATTTTGGTGATGACAGCTCAGGATTCAATGTCTCAAATGCAAGAGATTCTGCTATCTTTGACTAAACAACAGCAAAAACGTTTGGATATTGTAGCCGGTGGTTCGAGTCGTCATCGTTCGATTAAATTTGGCCTTGACTTTATCAATGCTAAACGAATGCAACCCGATTTTGTCATTGTACATGATGGAGCGCGGCCTTACCTCGATGAACAGGTGCTACATCGGCTAGTCAGCGAATGTTATCAGCACGGTGTTGCCGGTGTATATTGTCCACTCACATCAACTATCATTGAACCACAAAAGGATACATTTATGCTAAATCGAGTGTTAGATCGTTCTCGATATGTAGCAAGTGAAACGCCCCAAGCTTTTCGTTATAATTTATTGACAGATGCATATCTGAAATGCTCGCCCGATGATCTCGACAATAATACAGAATGCCTAGATCTTATCAAACGATATTGTAAATTTGATGCTAAATTAATACCCGTCGATCCTTCTGTTTATTTTAAAGTCACATACCGAAAAGATATTTACGCTGCTGATCATATCTTGAAAGAGCAGCGAAATATTCTACTTCATTGCGATTTCGATTGTGAAAAGCCAAATGTTAATTATAAATTCATCAAAGAACTCAAAGATGATTTGATATCTAATTTTGTCAATGTATGTGATGATTAGTCATTACTTTTGTTTATTTTCATAATTAATCTGTTACTTTTTGTAATAGGTGAAATATTTTTCGGATTCCGCAAAGCTCAAAAATACACTTGTTTCCCATTCTCCTGGAACTGTTCATGTATTATTACATTATTGTGAAAATTGGAGCCGTGTTATCGAGCAAAATTTGGCTGCTTATGAAAATCTGGTTTATATTGTGATCAATTCGGATGCCGATGAACCTAATCTAAATGATTATGCCTCCAATCGTTTATTGAAATGGGCACGTTTAGCTAAATCAAAAGAAATTCGAAATTTCTATCTAATATTTGCTCATCTCAAGGTTTGGAAATAGATATTCGCAACAACATAATCTCAACCAATATTTTACAATAGGATTTGGACCAGGAAAGTTCTCGAATTCGTAACATTGCCGTCTATTTGAGCAAAGAGCTGCCATTTGAATTTTCGGGACAAACTTTTTTCATTTAAATTTCGACAAAAAAAACGATCGACACATTCCAAAGTGAAACATTTTTAATTTCCATCAAATCAATTTTTTTCTTTTTTTGATTCGCATGATAAACAAATAATAATAAATATAAATAGAATCATACAATTTGTTGTGATGTGTAGTAAGATAAAAAACAAATTAATAGAAATCTATGGATGAAATCGAGATGAAAAAATGGAATGGTTATCTGAATGAATTTTTTTCTTTCTTCAGAAATACCAGTGTAAATTTGTGACAAATGTTTGAATGCAACCAAATATGACTGAAAATTTCTCTACATTTCTATAAATGATAATCAATTCGATTTTAGATTTTGAAAAAAGAATAGATGTTTAATGTGAAAAGAAAAAAATGATACAATTTGATAAATCCTAAGAATTAATTTATATTAATGTGCAGAACAAAGGAACGTTGGGCTACATTTATGTCTCTTGATGATGATGATGATAAAGTCCATTCATGTTATTGTTGATGATATTGCTGATGATAACAAATGATTGAATTAGATCATATCATTTGTTGATAATGGTAATGAATTATCACCATAAAAGTCACTTATCGATTTTGTATTTTCAGATTCCATAGTGTTCGATTTGATAGATTTTGATGCAACATCTTTGGCAATTTCGACGGTATCCGTAGAGACATTAGCTGGTATTTTTGGCTGTGATTGTTGCTGAGTGCGTAACATTTCTTCCAATTCGACCAATTGTCCCATAAAATTCAAATTGGGTGAGATGATTGGTCTTCGCGATTTAACATAACTATAGGCTTCGGATAAAGTCATATACAGATGACGCATAATATAAGCAATGGTTATCGTTGCTGAACGAGAAATACCGGCTTGACAATGTACCAGTACGCGATGGCCTTTTTGTCGGGCTTCATCTGTGACCATGAAAATAAAAATAAAAAGAAAAAAGAGAGGAGAATTAATAACAAAAAGTCAAATTAGTCAAACAAACAAATGAAATAAAGTGCCTAAAGCACGATTAAGAGCAAATTCAATTTGTCATATTAAAACATCGCGGGACCGTTGTCCAGTATGTAAATAATTCTAATATTGCACGCTCACAAAACAAACTTGCACTTAACTCTTTGACTCTATTTTGTTTAACAATGGATGATTGGTTTGTTCACTTGGGAAATTCGTCAAACACTTAGCAAGTCCATTTAAATAATTAAAATTCAAATGCAAAACAAAATAATACCGTCTAAAATTTTCATTGTGTGTTCTCAATATCAAGCTGTTGCCCAGTGTGGGAGGAAACCAGATTCTATTAAAAAAAAAGAAAATCTAAGTACCAGTCAAAAAATCATAATTCAGACTATTAGAGAAAAAACGAAAAAGAGAAAAGGACAAGTGTGTTGTTTAATGGCACAGATGCTAACTAGAATTCATGTTCGGCCATTATATTCAATAATATGTTGCCAATAATTTTGACAATAACATCTGCCACGCATCAGAATTTATGGTGAAGAAAAAATGTGGTGCAAAAAGACCATTTTCTTCTCAATGCCACATAATAATCATCATTAGTAAATATAGTCAGATAACAAACGGTTAATTCATCAAGTCCACTATTAGACAAGTAGCGTGTAAAACCACACACAATTTGATTGATAATAAAAATCAAAAATAAAAAAGAAATCCTTTTATATAGAATCGGATATCATACGAGAATGCCATTAATTTACCACCTGGATAATGGATAAAAAAAAACAAATGGCCAGGTGTTAACATTCCAATCAATCTAATGATGACAAATAGTTAGAATCCGGCGCTCAATATATACAAATCAAACAACACGCAAACATCGAATCCAAAATGAGTCATGCTAAATCCAAATGATTTCTAACCCAAACGACGATGATGATGGGAAAATTTTTCAAGGCCCGAGGCCGATGTATAAACTGAAACGTTGAATGAGTCATCATTACCACAATTGTTCAGATTGTTATTTGTTAACCAACATTACCACCAAACAAATAAAGAGAATGAGACGCTTAAAATCGATCAACGAGCATCAATAGATCAAATAACGTGCATTTAGTTTCATTCAATGAAAGATTTTATGAAACCATATAAATCAGAGCACATGCTAGGCCTTGAATTCTATATTTTTTTTGAGGGGGACATTATTACTCATCAACATAAATGTCGCATATAATCGAACCGAAGCAAAATCAAAGGCAGATGGACCTTAGATAGTTGGTCACACGTGCGGCCTGCCTTGAGTGATCCGTTTTTTGGTCCAATATGTGTTATATGGGTGGGAAGTTAGGCAAAAAAGGAGGCTAGGCTTTACTATAGACCTTGCTGAATGTGCAACGAATGAGTCATATGTGACCTAATAGCTGTAGAAAATATACATTTTGTGACCTAGAAGCGGAAACGGTAAGGCCTTGATTTTTTCAATGATTATAAACTAGTGATCCAAAACATTTTCGATAAACAGGAAGAAAGCAAGAGAAAAAATATGGTGGCCAGTCAATCATCGCCACCACAAACATTAAATTAAGTGATCGAGATATATACGCACAATAACTGTGTGAGGATGTTTCAGACGGCCTCGTCATGACTGACTGATGAATGACGTTAGTCATTCAGAGGTCACGCGTTATACAAAATTCAGCTCTATCTAAATTTGTGTCATCAAATGAACACACACACTGCAGCTTACATTTAAAAAGAGACAGATTGATTTATATAATTGAGGAAATAGAAAAAAAAAACAAGCGCTAGAGGTTGATCTGATTCTGAATTTATGATTATGACGATGATTCAACATATGAGCCGACAATTACATTATGGTGGAATGAATCGATTCGAATGCATTATGTATAAGGGAAAAAAAGAAAGAATGGAACACTTACCAATAAAATGGAAAGCTTCTTCAAAATATTGTTTTAAATTTTGTTGATAATTATCCGATGCTGGTAACCACTTATAAAGACGATTCATAGTTTTCGACAATGACAAATGTTTTGCAGATTCGGATTCATAGCATTCTGGTTCTTCACGATAATTGATGTTATTTTTATTATTTCTATCACAGTGATTAGAATGACTATTAGATTGTGATGATGAATCATCATGACTAGATTGACAAGAAAATGATCCATTCATATTCTCGACAACTTTACTATCAGAGTTTGCGATGATAGTTGTTGATGATGGTTGCAATGTTACATTCAAAACATAAGTTATATCAAGCTCATCCAAACGTTTGACATCATTTGCATCACGTTCATTACCCAAATACAAAAAAGGCAGTATAGGTGTTGCATTTGCTTCCATTACCGATGATGAGGAACCATCACAATCATCACCAGAACCTGAAGGAGTTTCATCAAACGTAAATGAAGATGATATAGCCATATTATCCAATGGTGGAAGCTCATTTGCCGCCATCAATAGATTACGTTTGGTACGTTTTAATGCGGATGAACCACCACAAAATAGAGATGAAGGCGATACTATCGAGGACATAGACGACGATGACGAGGAACTTGATAGAAATGAAGATGGTGACATTGATGATACCGAGGATGAACAAGATGATGAAGCTGATGATGAGATCATAAGATTACAGCAAGAATTTATTGGATTTAATAATAAGGAATTTTTGGAAGCTTCATCATCGCCTGTCAATATTGGTGCACTTGATGGATTGGAATTATAATCTGATTCTATAGTATCATGAATGTCCATCTTAAATTGTGATTGTTGCTGTTGTTGATAAGAATTTTGACGACAAACTTGCATCCGACAAGTTTTGCAGCATGGTGATTGCTGTAATTTCGAATTTGAAGCAAAATTTCTAATAGAAACATTTTTCAATATTAAATGAGACAAAAATCTTACCGATTTTCCAATTTTTAATTTTCGACTATTATCTGCCACTGTGATTACCATTGGATTAGCATGATGATGATTATGATGATGGTGATTGAAGTGATGATGATTGATTCCATTCATATCCAAGGAAAGTCGAACTTTTTGTGATAATGACGATGATGAATTGGTTGATGTTATGTCCAATTTCGGACGACGTTGTTGTCGCCGCTGAACGATCGATTGAAGATGGTGAACATTGTTGTTATTATTTGCAGAGATCATAATATCGGCCGATGTTGTATTACTATTCAACGATGATGATGATGGTGGCAACGGTGGTAACGATAACATCGGAGAAGTTTGTGTTTGTGGACATGATGACAATATTGAATCCATCATAATGAGATCATGAGAATCATTTGATGATGAAGAGGTAGATAATAATAATTCATCAGCAGTAGTAGTCACATCAACCGTTGTTGTTGTTAATGAAGATGATGATGAAGGTGATGATGATAATGAGCTGACAAAAGAATGTCCAGTAGTGGCACCAGAATCTAAACTGACCATTGCCAATGCCATGATAATATATTTTAGAAAAATTCAACAAAATTTTCGAATAAAAGTCACAGTGAATTTTCTATGGAATTAATTGAGAAAAAAAAATTCAAACAATAAGTTATTAGAAGTGAGAAAAATCAAAGATTTTTAAATTCAATTTCAGTAGCACTTGACTAGCGGCGGTAAAACATGACAATGAAATTAAACCAAACGACTTCATATGTCATTTATATACGCGAATGTAGTATATACATCGTCTGTATGTTGTAATCAATATCGGGCGTCATTAAAACAAGGAATTAGTTATTAATAACAGACGATCATCCGAAAATGGTAGAAAGTATACCAGGATATATTAACAAAAGATGGCCAAGTCATCGTCATCATTATTATACAGAAAAAAGGGCAATAACCAAAAATCATCTATGGTGATGGATAAATAATCAGTTACAAACATGACTATGGCTATAAATACAGTTAGTTAGTTGGATTATTCTTTAACTAACTAAAATATATTGTTAGAATATAGAACGCTTGCTTAGCTATAGGCTTTAGTCAGAAATTGTGATGAATGAAATGACTCAATAATAATATCTAAGTGATTTTCTATTGAAAATTTACTTTAATAATTATCTAATCAATTTTTGTTTGAAGATGAATAACAAAATCATACGATAGACATTGACGATAATCTTTATCAATAGATAATAATTGTCAATGTTGGACTTGAAAATTCAAACAAAGTTTTGTCATAGTTTCGATTAACATCATCAATCGTATTTTAAGATAACAACGATGATGAGTAATAACAAAGAAATTGAAATAAAAGCATTTTCAAGAATTATAAAAATCATATATCACAAATTGTTAAAACAAATGGGACATGATTCCAATGGCATTCAATATTACAAATGATTATGGTATTCTAAAATGCAACAAACATTGTTTTTTACCTTTGAAATAACATTTCATGATATGATAAATTATTGCAAATGATGATATGTTATTCTTGCGTTGTCTAAAAGAATGATATGTTAGATGGACATGCATAAAATATGATATTGCACAAGAAAATTTTAAAGTTCAAACAAAAAAGAAAAAGACACCGATAGGATTGTTGTCGAAGCCCAACAAGATTCGATCAAGAATAAAAGAATAAGTCAATATGACTCAGACAATCATAGGAACCTCTCAAAATATATGCAGAAGAATGTTGAGCATAGTTTCAGAAACAGAATTAAAGAATCTTTTCATATATAAACAAATAACAACAACTACCAGCACCATTTTGGTGATGACTAAGAGACGACGATCGGTGACGACAATCGTGAGTCATTTGTATACTTTATTGTAGATAAAGTCAAGGTGTGTATCCACGAATATTGATATAGAAAGTATAGTTTCAAGGCGATTTCTATATACATAAAAAAATGGTACATATTTTAGGGCCACCACTACTAACGATAATACATTCCATTGGGATCAATTCAATTCATACACATTCGATTGGTCATTCTTAGTCGACGGGCGTCATGTTATAGCCACGAACAATAAGGTGCCAGCGAATTAGTCATTCATTCAATTCTAATAGCGATACAAAAAAAAACATTTAAACTGACGCCGCATGCGTGAGTATGTGCCAAATTTTTTTTCTACGAGATTCTAACTGATTCTCAAAGAATCTATAATAGTAGATGAATAGATAGCGGTTGTAGCGGTTCAATGGAACAATGTTCAATATCGTCAATAGTGGATTTGGCGCCTTGAATACCATGGATCAAGGGAGGACTAAATGATTATTAATAACGAAAGCTAAGACTGGTCCAAGATGATCCTGGGCGTCCGGATTTCAATTGTATAAATACCCAATAACAACAACTCAATGATCAAAATAACATTGGTGGTCATGGAAGCGAATCCTCCCCACATTTTTTTCAATTCTCATGGATGACTCACTCACTCAATCGTACATCTAATTTATAAGATAACCATAGAAGATTCATGATATGATTAGAATTTTTTTCCAACTAATATATTATCGATACACAGTATAACAAAGTGTCAAAATAAACAATTGACAATTGCTGAAAATAATAATATCTTTTCGCCATTTTTGTTCGAATTTCATAAAATCAGAATGGAAAACAAAACAAAAAACAACTATCTCATGATCAAATTACACATATAACATGGTAATTGGAAACACATAAAAGCAAGGATTTGAAAAAAAATTCACTGTAGTCTATTATTATTATAAGAAAAATCGACAAAAAAAAACACGTGCATCTAAGAAGACAAAAAATAAGGATCCATAATGAATACAAATGATGATGATCATTATCATTATTCATCTAATGGAAAAATTTGCAAAATCAAAGATCATAAGGTATCAGATTACAAAGCTGATTCTTTTTGTTTGTATTTGTTTTGTTTTTCAAAAGAAAAAATAAAACATTAATCATCAATTGTTACCAAAAAAAAAACACTACCTTTTTTAGATAAAATCCCAGTAGTTTCAATCAAATAAATTAACATTTTCTATTTTCCCATGCAAAGAAAAAAACTGTTCATTCGAAAAAAAAGTTCCAGATATTTTTATTCTTGGCCGTTTATAATGACTATATAATATTTCAAAAAAGCCAGGTCAAGATCAACAACACAAAAACCATCAAAAAAAACAATGGCCATGATTTTATTATAAGAATTCAATTCTAGGAAAACAAAACTGTTTTTTGGCAAAATAAATATCAAAATGATGATTTCTTTATTATGAAATAAATAGGGGCGTTCTTTTGTATTTTTTTATTTTTATTCTTAACAAAAAATGACAAATATAGAACAAAGTTATATTTACGATCTTATAATATAGACATGTGAGTCACCAACAGCCATCAACACCAGATTCCTAACAAATGATATGATCATATTTTGACAAGTCTAACATGTAGTCTAATGATAATGGAATTTTGTCTTTCTTTCAAGTTTGTTTCGTCATTTAAATTTTTGTACAATGATGATTTGAATCATTTGGTATTTTTGCTGGAAAATGATGATGATAATGGTGAATGGCTTGAATTCAAAGATCTTAGCCGATTAGTCGACATTCTAAATCACATTATGACTCATATCCTTGACATTGTCTATAGCAAAAAAAATAATGGGTGGTTCAATCAATGATTGTTAAAACAAAAGAATGAAACAAGAGAAAAAACCCGATATCCGGGGGTCATTTTAAAATCGTAACCAAAACGTTAAAACTATAAAGATGAGATGAGATGAATCATCGACAAGAATAATAATTATAAAAGAAATCGAAAACATCATCATTATTATTATTACCAGACAAACGGATCACTATAGTGTGTTAATGGTCAAGATTATTACAGAAAATATCGGAAATGGTAAAAGATGTTTGTCATGCTTAAACAATAAATCCGATGATTAAGTCATTCTAGTTTTCTTTTTAAATGCATGTATGGTGAATGACCTGGTGTTTATGATGACAATAAAAACAAATCATTTGTCGATCAGTGATTTCCACACATCATGAATGTATGATTGCATGGAAATTTTTTTTCTTTTTTTGGTTTCATTGAATGAAATCATATTTGTGAAAAACCGGAGTTGTTACTATACCCGAATTTGGGATGAATCACACCTAACTTAAAATGGAGTAATTTTCAATACAAAAGAAAATGAATGTTATAACACATATGCAACTTATTACTAAAACAAACAAAACAAAGGTAGTAGGTTGAATACGCAAAAGAAAGAAAAACAGACACATATAAATGCAGGATGCAACAACAAATAGAGTCTTATGAATTATAAGTTAAGTGATTATTCCAATAATGAAAAAAAAATATTATTCATTTAGCATTGAAAAAAATCTTAACGACAATTCAATGGAAAATTGCCCATTCACATAATTTACTAAAAGGCAATAAGAACAATAATGAGTCATATATAAAAGTTGATACCTTAATGATTATAAGAAGGGTTAATAATCTATTATTTCCGTTTAAATTGTTTCATTTTCAATTACTTACTTATTTTAACCAACAAGTTGGTTGGTAATAGTGGAAAAAACGATTTTTTTATTCGGATTTTGAAAAAAAATTATTTTAAATTATTTTGATTTTAAACTGTAAATATCCAACAACAACATATTAGTCAAGGACAAATTTAAAAACCATCATATCAACACTATCTCATTAAAATAGGTAATGCATATACATGATATACATTTATCGACGAAAAAGATAATTGGTCGTTAAGAAAGAGAGAGAAAAATAATAACAGACCGACAGGTGAATGAGTCATATTATTATTTATTTGATTTTAACAATAACAGAAAAAAATCAATGATCATTATTATACAATAAAAAAACAATCGAACGTATCAATATTGAACTCAACAAAATAAAAAGTTTGAAAATATAAGTAAATAATTCTTGAATCTTACCTGACATTTAAATTATTGAATGATTTTTTTTCAAATCAATTTTAGTGGATTTTGGCGGGCATTAAAGGTAGTTTTTGTTTTTTAAATTCTCACAAAGGTGGTTTATGAGGATATTGTTTTTTTTGTTGTTGTTGCCGCTGATATGTAATTTGAGATAAGATGATCATTAATCTTTGAGATTTGATTGAAAGTTAAAGTGGACATTGATTTCAATACACAACAACAACAAGTGATCAGTGTATCGTGTGATTAATGGCAATGGGAATGTGACCAGAAGATATCCAAATGATAATAAAGATGTGTAATAAACAGGAAAAAATTTACAAAAAAAACTCAAAAAATTGATGTACTTGTTTGGCAAAATAATTAATGGACCAGAATCGAATTCGATGAATCAATAATATGATGATGATGGTTAAATGATGAGTAGTAGATTAGTGCATGCAGAGGGTGAAAGAGAGAAAAAAAGAAAAACCGATTGATGTCGTCAAATTCTTAGAATTCGACGTAGTTAGGTTGACACAGACGATTTTTTTATTTCAAGCATTGTGAAATTGTGTGCGTCTATGTGTCTACGTGTGCAACAATTTCGAATTGACAAAAAAAAACGAATTCCGAATAGAATTCAATGAAACCGATGCCAAAATAATAATGATGCATGTATGTGTGCGCGCGACTACGAACATAACATTATGAGCTAAATGAATCTGATGACATCAAATGATGATGATTTTTTTCTGTGGATCATTTTGGATACATAAACACAGACACACACATCATAAGAGTCAAGCATATCGGTCACAATGTAGTAGTGGTAATGTTTAATGAAACTCAACAGGTCTATCAATGTATGTGTATATCAGAGTTGATATTTTGTGAGTGGGAAGGACATTCATATATATGTACAAAATTCAATGTGGTCATTCTCATGATGACTCATAAAAAAAGTTATATGATACGTTTATGTAAGTGTAGCGGTAAAGATATGAGATACATGGATAAAAAAAACTACAGTGAATACACGAATTAGAATGATTTTAATAATAATTCTTGCTAAAGTACAGGATTGACTGTATTTTACGTCGTTTGATATTTGAAATCGTATTTTGTGTGGAATCCGGATTGGAAAAATTTTCTTCTTTGATTATAAGCCGAAATCAGAAGAGGATTCTCACCCACGCTTGTTACTAATTATGATTATTTTATTTTTTTCTCATTATGCTAAGACTAAAATAGATATTTCGAATATAGAATTTTCGGATTATCTGTCGGATATTTATAGCAAAATATTTATGAACAACATCGCATTCAGCTTTTAGTCAATGAAAGCCGGGTGTTAAAAAAAATTAAAATTCAGTGCCAAGTGCTATATTTTATTTTGTATGGGTTTGCTATTTTGTCTAGCCAAGCATCAAGATTCGGTAAAAAAAATTTGTTGGAGATTTTACCATCTGACAATGGTCTATGAAATACAAAATTTTAATCAATTTTATTAAAACACAAATAAAAGGGTTTGATATTCGAGATTCCATCAAATCAATCGTGCGTATGATTTTACAAAAATTCTATTATAACTAAAGAATCTTATTACACATTATATAAGATATTTTTTTTGAAAGGGTTTTAAATATTTTCAAAATAAGAATTGGAATTCTATTGTGTCCATAGAATGTTATGAAACAATGCACCGATGCATGTAAAGAATCTATGGTAAAAAAAGAGAAAAACGATTTTCACGTGCTTAAACTTTTTTGTTGTTGTTGTTAAAAAGAATTTTCTGCATTATAAAATTTTATTATTATCATTATAGTAACACTTATTCATTAGGTGTTCAACCATCGAATTCAATTTAAAAAAAAAAACACTGAAATGCGAAATAATACGATTTGATTGGGAACAAATGTTACAATTCACATTTGAAATTGAACCAAATGTGCGGTGAAACAAAACGAAACATTTTCAATAATAATTTTACTACTATAATCTGAAGGAAATTATTGCTGACACAGACACATACATACAGATGCACACAATAAAAATAGTCGGTTTCGTCAATTCATCAATATTAAGCGGCTTTTGGGCCAATTCTTTCTATCGCAGAGAGAAAAATCCATAGAACCAAAGAAAAGATCGTGTGTGTGTAAATATTTGACAATCCGTTATTTCAATATTGTCAATATATCTTATCAAATGTTTCAATTGTGATTGTTTAGCCAACGGTGATGTATTTTGGATCATTTTAATTTGTTTACTGTCCAAAATGAATGAATGGCAATGGTAATGGCAATAAAAATGGTAGAAAGGGAAAAGAATAGATTTATTTTGTTATTTTGCAATTTACAATTTACATTCTCAATTTGATTCACAATAATTCGAATGTTGAACATACAATAACAACAACAACAAAATTGATACCTCAAATTCTAAACTTCAATTCCCTTGATGATGCAAGTTCATCACCCCTTTATTTTTCGAATTGATAAAATTTGAAAAAATCATTAAAAACATGGTGAAGGTTAATTTGATTAGAATTTACATTTGAAAAACGTTCCATTGTTTAGTCGATGAATTTAAATTTACATTGACGATGTTGGTTTTTTCTCTGATAATTTGATTAGATTTGTGATGTGAACAAAAAAAAACTCTGATGATATAATAGCCTATGGAATATTATCAGAAGAATTTTTCTTTTGAAACAGAATTTCAATTAAATTGTTGTTTACATAATGTTGTTGCAAACATAAATCGTATCGGGAATATTTATGTGTTCAGTTTCTAAAATAAAACTTTGTTATTCTATTCACCATGTTGTTGTTGTTTGTGATATCTGGATGAATGAATGAATGAAAAAAAATTCAAGTTAATTTGTCAACTAAACTATTTCAACATTCACATTTTCTTACTATGAACCGATTATTGTTTTCATTCTTAGGATCTATTTATTCAAATTATTTAAGCTTATCACGATCGACGAACAACAGCAAATAAAAATAAAATATTTGATTTTGAACAACAACATGTGAACACGCGCATTTATATTACAACAATAATTCATTTCAATTTGATCCAAACAATCCAATTATTTTCTAGAATATCATCATTCAATTTAATTTGGTCGTTCACATAAATTCTTTAATTTTGATTGGCACAGATGTCAATCAAAATCGTACACACGCATAGGAAACATTGACAAATAAATCCGCTTCGGTTATTGTTGTTTTGGCCGTTGGTTGTAAGCTTAAAAAAATCCAAATTGAATTTTTTTTTCTTGTTGCTTATTTTTGTTTTTATTTCAAATTCCATACATAAACAACACTATAATAATTTTTTTTCAAATGGGAAAAGCAAAAACCCGACTATAGAATACAATTCCCATATTACTTCCTAGGTAAAATAGGAACAATAATAACCAAACCTAACCACAATCGAATTGCGGAATGAAACCCAGACCGGAAACAACTTGACTCTCTCTCTCTCCTATTTCTTCCACATTTGGATGATGATTTCTAGATTCAGAATTTTTTTTTTGGCAACACAGAACAACAGCAGCAGGGTTCTAATTCAACAAAATTAATGAATAAGAATAAACAACAAATACAAAAAACAAAAAACGAATTTGTTTGACCTATGTTTGCAGATATCGATTTCTAACCATTCAATGTATTCATTTGTCCATGTGTGTGTGAATATATTTTTGTATTAAATGACGATGAGTGGCCGGAAATTGATGTCGAAATGTAGAATTCCAAAAAAAGAAAAGAAAATTGTGTTTACACTTATAAATAGATGAGTCATTCGAAAAATTCATTCGGTTTTCCACGAACAAACCAATGGTCAACAAATAACATTACTGATTCCATTGAATTTAAATTTTGGAAAAAAAATGTACAAAACAAGACAAAAATACGAACAAATTTTCTATTCTTATCATCCGAAAATGTACATGTCAACAACATGACCAAAAAAAAATTGACGTCGATAAAAACATAGCTAACGATCATTAGAATTAGATGAAATAAATTTACAAACATCAAATGAAAACTATATGACAACGACAAGCAGACACGTGGCCATTTTTTTACAAAACGGTGAACGAAAAATCGAAAAGAAAAATCCCAGCCAAATAAAATGACAATGACAATTAGTTTGAAATTGTACACAAGAATCGCACATTATTAGAATATAAAAATCTAGATAATAATTTTTAAAAGTTGAATTTTTTTTTTAATAAATATCTTTTTATTACATTTTTTTGTCAAAACAGCCTTCAGGGCTTAATATCCCGAATTTTTTTAAATTAAATATTTCAAAAATTTAATTCAACTTGAAAGTGATAATGACCATGAATCTATGACCTTTCTCAATTGATGGATGTGTTAAAGGATGTCCTTGATTTTGGATCGACCGAACCAAAAAAAAAATTGGCCAGATTTTGTTTTCCATCGATACAAAATTGAATTTGTGTAAATTGGAAATTTGATTATTTCGTATCGAGTGAAAAAGTGAGAGAGAGAGAGATAGAAAGTCTATCGAATGAACAAACGAAAATTTTATTAATACATTGACAGAATGTATTGTCATGATTTTTTTGTTTGTTTGCTGGCTATGATAATGATGACGATAGTGATGGTGGTGGAAACCGTCTGTCAATTGAAATGTTTTCTCGCAGAATTTCAGAAATTTTTTTTTTGTTCCTGTGGTTGAATGATAGGATCGATTTCAATTTCGAAAGCATCATCATCATACATCTGACGAGGATTCTTTTTTTCGACAAGTTTTAATTGAATTGTCGACGATCTTTTCTCAATATCTGGATCACCATCATCATCATCATCATCATTTTGAACACATCAATGAATGTGATTGTCTCTTTTGAACCGTATATTTTCATATTAATATATACGTAACGCGTGAATCATCCCTTCGTCATCCTGATGACGAATGACGAATCGTGTATATATACCGAATTCGATCCATTCATGATATTGTGAAAAATTTCTGTCATTCATTGTCATTATGTTTGTTTCGGGTTTTTTTCGCTACTGCTGTTGTTGTTGTTGTTTTTGTTCAAAGTTTGATGGTGGTTCATTTAACGTTTCATACATACACCCTTAGTGCTTGTTGTT